TTCCCACATGTGAATTCTTTTTGAATAGTCTCTTTATGAGATTCCCGTTTGAGCGTATGACCTAAATATCATCCTCTTCCACCTCCATTGTGAATTTAATTCTTCCATCGAGTTGGTTTATATGGTTACGGAATTCATTCAAATTTTTCTTACCATGCGACCAAAGTGCAAAGTAGTCATTCAAGTATCGAATAAGTACTCTTGGTTGGCGCGGTGACTTCTGGAATTCCTTTTCCAAATTGTCCATGTTTATAAGTGCCAAGAGAAGTAAGAGTGGAGATTCAATCGGTAATCCAAATAGTTGTTCATAGATATTGCCGTTGAATGTAAAATAGGTAGTCTGTACTGTCAGGTTGATCAGTCGGATTAACGAAACCTTCCGTATCCACTCTGACTCCAGGATATTATCATCTTGACGACATCCAGCATGGTGGTGACTGACTTCTTGCCACGACCATAGTAACGGCCACAGCATCTTGGTCGTCGTACCTTTGGTTACTTTTTTTGTCATAATTACTTTAAGCCATTACAGCTGGTTTCGTATATATGCAACACATGTAGGCACATGCACATACACAGACAGACAAATTCACGTGCTTCGAGGTTGACATATGACTGGAACTACCTCATAACCTAATACCATATTTAAGAGCAAAGCCAATAGACAGCTAGACAATAGGAATTCGCCGCCGTCTTCCGGTGGGGTCGATCTTTGAATCTCTTCAGCAAACATTTTCACTTGAAATGGAAGTAGGCTCAACAGTTATGAGATATTTTTTCAGAGACGAATATCTGAATAAGAATTTAATTAAGCTAGTTTACTATAAGTGGTTTAAGGAGTGGTAATAAAATTTTCCATAGAATGTTATGAGTAGGCCTCACAATGGCAGCGAATTTCACTTTATATTTCCTTGCAAATTATTTTCCCATTCAGGCTGGGCTAAGCTTTCTACCTCGGATCACCAGACCATCAGTATCTTCAAAACGATTCGAAATAAAGTCTTGTCAGTTCATGTTATTGTTGAAAAAACGCCATTATTAATTTTTATATAACCTTAAAGGACTTAAAATGGTTAAATTCCTATTTAAGTACGCTTAGTCACAAACTGAAATCCAAGCCCATGAATTCTCACAAATTAATACAGATCTATGAGTTGTATTCCCTCTATTTTGTTTAGGGTGATGAAGGACTGGCAGCTGATTTTTCCCACAATGACATGAGTAGAGTTGATGTTTTCCATTGAATTTAACACAGCCCTGCTTTCCTAAAAGGTGTTTTCATCCAGGGTTGACTGTAGCTTTGACCTCGCATAGGTCTTACCATCACCTTAAACGAAATAGTGTGAACACAACACAAATAACTCATTTACTGGTAGTCTCGAAAAACTACTCATTTACGAAAAACTTTAGACGTGTCGATTATAAAGATTTAATTTATTGACTCGACCCTGTGTTCGAATTGCGTATATACATTACAATATCGTATCAAAAGTCTGGCTTAATGAGGCATTGTAACTTTGTAATATACATATTCAGATATTGCTTCATAGCGTATGAATCGTGTACGTGGTTGAATGCATGACTGTATATGCACTTATACATTCTAAGAGTGGGCTTATCTAAATAAGCTTGTGCATAGCTCATGTATGTGTATAATGCAATTATGAGCAAGCGAGAGTCGGTTGAGTACGTTGAAATGACAGGTTTTGGAGGTCCAGAAGGTCGAGCTCATTGTTCCGCTACTGCAATTTTCGGTCAATTGACCAGTCGATTCTGAGGCCTGTTTCCTGGCTTCATCATAGGGACAATAGCAGAAGTTAGTCAGCTGTACTGTTTTTTGTAGTTGACGCTCTCCTAGCCCGAAAGTGGAAATGCTGGTGGAAAGATGTGAAAGTAAGACTGCCAAGAGCTGCGCCGACGAAGAAAAAGGCTAGGGCATGCAAAAAGAGGATGTGTCTTTTCGGGTGAAAATGAATTTGATTTACGTTATTTAAGCGCATGGATCAAGGTGAGATATGAATAGCGTATATTATGACTGCATGCGCATTAAAGGGAATCCTAGTACTTCCATGATGAAGCGGAGGAATGCTAAAGTCAGGTGCAAGATAACGAGAAATGGGCTGAATGAGAATTAAGTGGATTATGACTGAACAGGGTCGAAGGAGTCCCCAAAAAGATAAAAGTAATCAGAAATAAGGCAAGACCTGCAAATGAATTATGTGGGCATTGGTATAATGACGACAGAAGAACAAGTTGACCCAAAAGATCACAAAAGGAAAGAATGTGTGATGAATATGAACTGTAGTTTCCATGGATAGCTTAAGGTGCTGGATTATAGATAGGTGGATTTGCCCACAATTATGTGAATATGGCCCCAAAAGGGCGCCCTCAACCAGATTGGATAGCAGTTTCAACCTTGCATGAGTCTCATCCTCCCAGAGTAGGTGCTCAAGGGATCTAGGCGAAGTGGAAACTGAATTGTAACCTGATTGAGAATAGCTTTTGTGAGGAAGGGCCAAGCGAAGTTTAATGGCATTTCGTAGCCTATCTTAAGCGGTTTAGTCTGACTAAATTCCTACTTAATTCTGTCTAGTCAATAGACTGAGAGCCGGGCCCCGGCATCCGTACAAATAACTTTAGACGAGTCGGTAGCAAAGGAGTAATTTATTGACTCCATCTTGTGTTGAAAGAATATATATACATTACAATCTAATATCAAACGTCTAGTTCTATGAGACATTGTAACTTTTTAATATCCATATTTAGATCTTAGTTCATAGCGCATGTATTGTGTACGTGTTTGATTACATGACTGTATATTCACTTATACATTGTATACATTCTCAGAGGAGACTTATATATAGGGCGAATTCAGCCTTCTTTCCCTTGATCACTTTAGGTAACTTAGGTTGACCACATATGTTATTAGTCATTTACCGATAGTTTAAAGCCTACTATTTGAGAATATATAAAGCGTCATGTTCACAGCCTTGATATTTTGTTGATGTATGATTGTGAATACTTGCATGTCTGTCTGTTGAGCCTGGTAAACCAGGCACAAACATATCACTTTCGGTATCACTGTGAAAACGGTTCCCCTCATTAAGTTGAGGGGAGTAGAGCAGGAGAAAAGTCAGAATAAAGATGACAAGGAGGAGCTGGAGTGAGTGAAGGCGACAGCTCTACACATTCTTACAAAGGGTGATGCTAATTCGCAGGCTAGATCCACTGGGTTGATCGCCATGACTACTGTGGTGCTTGTTTGGCTTGGCAGGTGGTATTTTGTGAAGGTAAACAGGGCAAGATAGTAACAATAGGGCTTGATGGTCTCTCGGACGGTAAGAGTCTGAGGTTTCTTCGTAACGAGGTGATCATTTGAAGCATTTTATTTTGCAGCAAGAATGAACGATCGTCACTCCTCGGGCGCCCTGATTCAGTGGTCAAGCTCCATCTATGCAGTCAGAACTGGCTTTCTGACAGCCTGAAGTCTGAGACTTGAGATGAAAACATTGATTGCATCAATGCTGGAAGATAATATTGCCTAGTATATCGCATGTGAACTACTGAAGCAGGCGGGAAATGAGTAGTAGAAGGACAGGTGAGAGGTTGTTGTAGAGATGATAAAAAATATTTTAAATGCTTGTCGTGTTGGGAATAATGATAAAAATAATAGCAATAATATGTCTGCTGCACTGGCTGTTAGCTTATACAAGTAGAAATCATGTTACTACTTGACCTAATGGTAGGAGTAGTATTAAAAATCAACCAGTAATGACAGAGCTATTCTCAGGGTTGGCAGTGCTGTTGCCAGTGGCTGAAAATAAGGCTGTATTTTGATGAAGGAAGTGGCGTTTGAAGAGTAAGTAGTGTTGTGGCACTTGTGGCAAATATGATATGGCCCGTTGATGGCATCACTAGGCCAGATCCACAGAGGTGAAATCGCCTTGTCAAGAGATGCACAAACGTATGTACATGTGCAAAGTGGGCCAGTCAAAAGAGGCGGCTGAATTACCTGACCTCGGGATGTCGGCGAGCCTTGCCGGTCGCCAAAGCCCCTCCTCTACCAATCCCTCCATTCGGAGTTGTCCCGTTGCCTGTCGTTCTTGCAGCCTCCGTGACTACCGTTGCTAGGCCTGCAGTTGCGAACGCCTCACCTCCGGCCATTGAGCGTCGCTTATGCCGATCAAGGCGGCCTTGATCAGCTGTCGGCATCTGCAGACCGTCATTTGATGGAAAACCCGGGCAGAACTGTTGTTGGTGATTTTGGTGTTGTTGATGCTGATGCTGTAGACGATTTAGCGTAGCCATGACATTCATAGCGTCGAGGAGTTGTTGGGCCTGTTGTACCTGATGCTGCGAGACCGACGGATGTCTAGTCTCGGCGGCGGTCATGAAGGCGGCAGCTGGTGATGGGCCAAGGGTGTGAGTGCCAAGAAAGGGTGACATCGGCAGTTGCCTGACCAGCGGAGACTGGAGGTCGGCGGTGGGGAAATCTGGGATCCCAGGGCCTAAAGGCTCGCTGACGGCCGAAATGGAGTTGGAGAGAAGGAAG